CCATCGGGAGCCCGGTCCCGATCTGTACCGGGCACTTTCCCAATTTATAAAAGTTTAAGTAGTTCTTCAAACTTATCTCGCTCGATTGTTTTTATCTGCTTATTTTTTGGTTGTTGGTATGCCGGTTGTCTTTTGCCCGACCCTTTGGCCTGATGGCCTGGTCGAGTATATCTCGACAGAGTGGCGTTTTGGCCGTTCGCAATGTCGAACTTTTTTGGCCTACCCGTTCGGGGTTCTCCCGACCGTTCGGCCTTGTTAAAAATTCGAAAAATATTTTGGCCTTTTGCTCGGGGTATTTCCGATCGCTTGGCCTTGTCTGTACTTCCTTTATTCCAGTCCCCACATTGTCGTGCGCATGAGGCATGAGTGAGTGCGACAATGGAAAGAAGTTGGACAGATCGGGAAAATTTTGTTGTAGCTCTGGCTTTCCCAATCGGTAGCGTGACTTGAGTGTCCGCCGAAGATGAGCGTATTAGCCGGTCAATAATTTCGCCCGACCGTGTTGTAAAAAGCTATTAGAGCCAAAGTATAGACGGCTATTAGAGCCATTTAGGTATATGGCTATTAGAGCCAGTTAGCTGTACACCCCTATCGGTCGGAACCGAGGGAGAGGTGTGTGGGGCGGAATGCCCGTCTTCGATTGCTGATGTCGAGTCTCGATCGGGTAGATTCCGAGCGCGACTGGTTGATGTAGCAGATTTAGAATAACCTACTTCATGGTAAGACAATTAAAAAACCGATCGGGCCGCCGTATGTAAACGGTCGAGCAATCACCGATCGTATTTAATTGAGAATTCCCATTTGCAGACGGTTTGAAATATTTACAGCAAATAATTTACAAGCACAATACGACGAACGGGGCCCACTCGCAAGTCGAGCCCCCACTTCGTCAATTATCACAATAAACTAGCTAGTGCCTAAACAAAGCGAGGTGCTCGGAATTCCAAGTGCCCTCGATCTGCCTACCGGTCGTCGTCTCTAGTCGGTAGGTTCCCGGCCGTATAACAGCGGTGATGACGTACGGCCCTTCCCAGTTCTGAGCCAGTTTTCCTCCTTCCAAGGGCTGACTGGCTTCCCGTCTGCGGAGGACGTAGTCCCCGACCTGAAAATACCGAGGGTTGACCCGGACATCCATCGAACTCTTTACCCGCTTCTGGTACTCGGCCATACGCCGAGCAGCTAGCTCTCTCTTTTCTTCGACACCGTCGAGATCCACGACCATCGAGTGTTCGTTCTCTTCGGCGTTGTAAGTTCGCTCTCTGGCGGTCGGGATCCATGCCTCGGTCGGGAGTTGGGCTTCAGCCCCGTAGACTAGGGCGAACGGTGTCTCCAAAGTTGCTTCCCTCGGGGTCGTCCGATAAGTCCACAGGACATAAGGTAACTCATCAGCCCAACTACGACCAGCCGAGTGTAACTTCTTTTTCAGACCTTCCAAGATTGTCCGATTAGCGTTTTCTACTTGTCCATTTCCCTGTGGATAAGCCACCGACGATCGGATGTGGGTTGTTCCGATTGTGGCAAGAAAGTTCTGGAAATATTGACTTACGAATTGGCGGCCGTTGTCGCTGATGAGATGCACGGGCACACCAAATCGGGAAATGACATTGCGCCATAGGAACCGGGCGCATTGTTGGGAGGTGATTGTGGCTAACGGCTCGGCCTCGATCCACTTGGAGAAATAATCGATGGCGACGATGACAAACTTTCTCCGACCGGCCAGTTGCGGGAATGGTCCCAAAATATCCACCCCCCACCTTGCAAAAGGAATTGCAGTCGTGACCGGCTGATAAAAGGTAGCCGGTCGTCCGGGCATCCAAGCAAACAACTGACACGTCTCACAATCCCGCGCAAGCTTCTCACAATCTAATTGGAGAGACGGCCAATAATACCCGATCAACATGATTCGACGAGCTAACGATCGGCCTCCTTGATGCGACGAGCAGATGCCCGAGTGCAATTCCTTCATCACTAAATCGGCCTCTAATGCGGTCAAGCAACGCATGAGCGGGCCTCCATACGACCGTCTATAAAGACGACCGTCTTGGACTTGAAACCTGGGAGCTCTGAGCTTAGCCTTCCGAGCACGCTGAGGGTCGTCTGGAAGCCGACCGTGCTCGAGGAATTCCATCAGATCGGTGATCCAATTGTCTTCCACCGGTTGGATAGGTACGACCGACAATCGATGGATGTTATACCTCGGGATCACCAAAATCCGAGCGATCTTTGACATGTGTTCCGGCGCGTCTTAAGCCAACTTGGACAGAATGTCCGCATCGGCATTATCCAGTCGGGGTACATGTCAAACTGTGTATCCCCGGAACAAGGCGAGTTTTTCCATTGAGAGGTCCCGGTAAGCCTGTAATTGCTCGCCATTCACTTCATAATCTCCCAGGACCTGTCCGACCACGAGCGCAGAATCTGTTTGAGCCCGGATGTACTCAGCCCCCAAGTCCCGAGCACACTGTAAGCCATTGACAAAGGCATCATACTCGGCTTCGTTATTGGTCGGGTGGAACCGATACACTAAAGCGAAGTAGACCTTGAATCCCTCCGGGCTTGTAACCACCACTCCTCCTCCTGCCCCTTTCTTACTGCTAGACCCATCTGTTGCCAGCGACCATCACTCCGCCTCGGGGTCCTCGACCTCCGGAGGTCGGGTGTCTCGAGCGGTGCACTCGACCAAGAAATCTGCAAGGGCTTGACCTTTGATGGCGGTCTTGGTCGATATTCGATCGCATATTGGGTTAGCATTAACGCCCACTTGACTAGGCGACCGGACGATGAGGCAGTGCGGAGGACCGGGCCAATCGGCTGATTGGTCAGCACACGAATGACTCTACCTTCAAAGTAGGGAGCTAGCTTCTTCGCGGCGATATACAAGGCGTAGACGACCTTCTCTAGCCGGGAGTACCGGAGCTCGGGACCATGTAGCGCGTGGCTTAAATAGTACACCGGTCGCTGGACCCCTTCCGGATCAGTTCGGCACAATACTACGCTTACTGCTCGATCGGATACGGCGAGGTACACGTCTAGCTCTTCTCCGAGCTCTGGCTTCGACAGCACAATTGGTGACATAAGATATTCTTTCAGCTCGTCGAAAGCCGCTCGGCACTCGTCATCCCAAACGAATCCGTTCACCTTGCGCAATACCTTGAAGAATGGTAGAGCGCGTTCGGCTAACTTGGAGAGGAAACGGCTTAAAGTGGACAACCGACCGGTAAACTGCTGGACCTCCCGAACGATAGTAGGTGGCTGCATGCCTAGAATTGCTTTGACCTTGGCCGGGTTGGGCTCGATCCCCCTCCTGGTCATCATATAGCCGAGGAACTTCCCGGTTTGAACCGCAAATGTACACTTGGTCGGGTTCAATCTCAGCTGGTACCTCCTCATCTGAAAGCATTCCTGGAGGTCCCGAGTGTGGTCGGATCGGTCCCGACTCTTGACCAGCATATCATCAATATACGCTTCCATCGTTCAGCCTAACAGATCAGCGAAAAGCATATTGACCATTCTCTTATAGGTCGCTCCCGCGTTGCGGAGGCCGAACGGCATCACTCGGTAGCAATACAGCCCGTCCGGGGTCACGAAGGCTGTCTTGCTCTCGTCTTCATGGTGCATCATTATTTGGTGATATCCCTTGAAAGCATCCATAAAGCTCATTAACTCGGCTCCGGCCGTCTCGTCGACCATTTGATGGATGCTGGGGAGCGGGTATGGGTCGAGCGGACATGCCTTATTGAGGTCGGTGAAGTCTATGCACATCCTCCAAGCTGGGGGCTTAGGAACAAGAACAATATTTGCCACCCACTCGGGATAAATCACCGGTCGGATGTGCTCGATCGCAGCTATCTTCTTGACCTCTTCTCTAACGAACTCGCGGCGATCGAAGGATAAATGCCGGGTCTTCTGAACGAACGGCTTGACTGCGGGATCGACGGCAAGCTTGTGACATATGACCATACGGTCGATCCCGGGCATGTCCTCGGGCCCCCACGCGAAGATATCAGCAAATTCGCGAAGAATCACTAGCACTTCTGATCGTAGCTCGGGGGTAAGGGCCCGACCAATCTTGATCTTCCTGTCCGGTCGGTCATCGGACAGGGGAACTTCCTCAATTTCCTCGGAAGGTTCGGGTTGCTCCTTCCGGTCATTGGTGGCCTCTTTGACAATCGTGTTCACCCGGGAAGACGTGCCAGTATCATGTTTATTAACGGCCCGTGTATAACACTTCCGCGCGGATTAAACATCTCATTATTGCTGGTCGGCCCAAGATGATGTTGTGGACGCAATGCAAGTTCACCACAACAAATTCCATCTCGGTCTTGATTGATTTCGGCGTGCCTATCTCGACCGGGAGCATGACCTTTCCTTCGGGGCGAACAAGGGCCTCGGTGAATCCAGACAATGGTACACCGACCGGAATCAACTCACTCTTGTCCAGATTTAAATTCTCAAACACGTCCAAGTAAAGAACGTTGACACTGCTCCCGGTGTCCACCATAACCCTCTTAACATCGGTGCCATTGACGTCAATAGTGACCACGAGGACTTCCATGCCGTGGTCACCGCTGTTGGGCTGGTCCTCCAAAGAGAAGGTTATGGGCTCCATCTTCTGTCTTTTCCCGGTATCACGGGAATCTACGATCGCGACCGGGCAGTTCTCCCTCGGTCGGGAAGCATCATCCAATCCACCAAATATCACGTGGATGGTCGGCTTGCCTGCCGGTCGGCTGCTGGATGGAGGGTCAGGGTCCCGGCGGTCATCTCGGCGGTCATCTCTGTGGTCCTGACCCGACCGATCTGAATGTTCAGCACGATCGGAGCGATCAGAGCGGTGATGAGATCGTTTGTGATCTCTCCGATCAGTGACTTTCTTTGTTTCTTCTCTCTTCCCCACGCACTTATCCAACTTCCCAATACTGAGCAAATCTTCCAATAGCTGCCGTAAGTGCGTGCACTCTTCTGTGTCATGCCCAGCACACTAGTGGTAAGCGCAATGCTTAGATTTGTCTGGTCCGTCTTGTCCGGGATGAGGGAGTCGGATGAGATTGCAAGACTGGGCGTACAGCGTACTGCATAGCTTCCGCCGCTGATCGGTTCAAGGCCGTAAACTCGCCAGGCCTGGTGCGGGGTCGGGGATGGTCCTCACCCGACCGATGTTCCGGCTGGCCGGCTGGCTTACGGGATGAAGTCCCGACCTCCTGCGATCTTTTGACGGCATTCGCTTCTCCGGCATTAGCGTAATCCGTCACCCTTCGAAGGGCCTCTTCATAAGTGGTCGGGGGATGGAGGATGAAATCCTGATAGAGGTAACCGGTCCGCAGTGAGATATGAAGCATATGAGTGGCGGTTGCATCATCCATCGGTTCAACTTCCCCGACCACGGTTTTCCACTTGACCAGGAAATCGGACAAGCTCTCCCCTTCCAGCTGCTTGGCCTTTTCCAAATACATGTAGGGCTTCCTCACTATCTTGGAAGTGATAAACTTCCGCACAAACTTCATTGCCAGGGTAGGAAAGTCAGCGATAGAACCCGGCTGCAACGTTTGGAACCACTCCGTCGCCCGACCGGAAAGCGTGGAGTAGAAAGCCCTACACATCAAGGCGTCTGACACGCCCATCATCATCATGTTGCCGTAGTAATCGTTGACATGGACCTCAGGGTCCGTACGGCCATCATAACCTTTGTTCTCCGGGACTTGTAGATCGAGCGGGTATAGCTGGGCCAAAATCTCCACCGTGAAGGGTGTCCTCAATAGCGAGGCTGATTGATCGACCGGGGGCCTCACTGCTTGCTCGTTTCGAAACCGAGAGAATTCTGCCTGGAGGTCATGGAGCAGTCCTCGGGTCTCGTTAAGCTCGATCGTCTGGGCCTGGGTCATTTCCCGGGCGCGTCGTCGACGATGCGATCTCGACCCACTATGCTCGGATGAAGCCTCCTGGCTGGCCTCCTGCATCGGTACATCTATTGAGCGCCGGCTCGGGTCCTGCGGTCCCAATCGCTGCCGCATTGCTGGTCGGAGGCGCTCAAATGCTACTGCCCGGTTAGCTTCTTCGGGGTCCTCCGCTTGGGCTTGAACCTCCGGTTGTACCTGTTGAGCCTGCCGTGGTACCTCCATGGCCTCGGCACCCTGCGACCCCAACCGCGAACGAGCCGAGCGTCGAGCCCGGGAAGTGGGCTGATGCTCCGGCTCTACTTGAGTAGTCAGGTAAGTCGGAGGGGCGGCGGCTGGAGCCGTGTACGCAGGTGTATAGGGGGGATAACCGACCGGTGGTGTATAAAACATCAGTTGACCGGGCCAATATCCATATTGGGGAGGCGGGACCGGGTAAGGATATTGCACGGGGTATTGGAGCGGCTGACCGGATGGTGGATATCCCGGTTGAATATAGTTGATCGGCTGCTGAGCGGCCGGGTATTGAACTGCTGGGTGCGGTATTGAGAGGTTGAGATTGAGGTCAACGGTATGACCTTGATATTGGGTTGGCTGATGATCGGATGAGCTTGCCGCATCCGCTTGATCATCGCCGAAGAGGTTGTATGCGAATGGATACATGATAAGAAGTAGAACCAGTGCTCGTCAGACGATAGCTTACTTGCACGGTTCCCCACAGACGGTGCCAAAATGATAGTGTTTTTTTTTTTTTTTTTTTTTTTTGAAAATTCCAAAATGATAGTGTTAATTCCCACGTAAGCGGTAAATAAAATAACACAAGACCAACTAAAGCAAGTAAAGCTCTCATATTGATCAAGATTAAGGACCTAAATACAATCTACAATGGCTATTTCGAGGGCCGACTGACTACGGTCAGGATGCTCTGAGAATAGCCTATCGATCGTCCCAAAAGTCCCTCACATTGTTGCTACCGCGGGTATTTATAGCCGCTAGGCCGGAGACACAATTCCGGTCTGCCGGCATGTAACCCACGTAGCGATGATGTGTCTTCTCCTCGCAAGCCCTGCCTGTCAACGCCTAGCACTGCCACGTGCCTCTTCTCGACTCTCTCGCCTAAGGGCTATCAATTGGGTACTGAAGACGCCGGTTGGGTGCCTCTCCGGTCGGGTACGACCGGGTTCTTCTAAGAATATCCGACCTGTAACCTGCATAAACAAGACTAAAACACGTGGCATGTGGTCGGGGTATTCCCTACCATGTGCCTTGAGAAATTGGAAGCTTCATCACTATAAAAGGAAAGGAAGATCATTGTGGAAGTTGCCAATTTGAGATTTAATATTATTTTGAGAAGTGAATATTATACTGCTAACAAATTGAATTAAATATATTATTCTGCTGAGCTACGGTCCGCGCCTGAGTCAGTCGATATCTGCTGAGCTACGGTCTGCGCCTGATTCAGTTGAAGTACTGTTCGAAGGTTATCAAGGCATGCACGTCACGGTCCAGGTTGGATGTTAGGAAGGTTGTTTGTAGTATGGTAGCTAAGACTATGAGAGTCTAATGTACTGTTCTATTGTAAAACTCCTCGGTGAACATCTATAGTGGATTGGGCAGACGTGGGTTGCCCCGCAGACGTAGGAGAAGTGCTCCGAACTGCGTAACAAATCTCTATTTACTTGATTTAATTACTGCTTTTATTTTTTGTTATTCACTATCACTAAATAACAAAAAATTAATCGATCAAAATTTAATATGAGTATAAAAATCAAGTAGAAGTTTCAGGTTTGGTTAGTTTAAGGTTCACGGCATTATTTCAACCATGAACACAGAGCTGAACCATCTTGTCCCGATGGACTTCGAAAACGCCGTCGATGTTCCCGATTCCCACACCTGGGTCGACCCCCCCTGCTTCAACTCTTCTTCCAGCGACAAATCTGTTGTTCCCTTTATCGATCTTGATGACCCGCAAGCCGTGGAGAAAATAAAAACGGCTTGTGAAAATTGGGGTGTGTTTCAGGTTAGCAACCACGGCGTTCCACTGGAGCTTCTTGGCGAAATTGAGCATCAAGCTCACCGGTTCTTCGCATTGCCGAGGGAGCAGAAGATCCTCACTCTGCGTTCGCCGGGAATCCCCGCCCGCCCCAGCTACGGCATCATCCTCGCCTCTTGCGTTTATAAGAATCTGATGTGGATGGAAGGATTCACTGTTTTCGAAACGCCGGTGGAGCAGGCACGCCTGGTTTGGCCTGAAGATCACTCCCCTTTCTAGTATTCATACACCTCTTTTTTCTTTTTTTTTTTTTTTCTTTTTTTTTGAAATACAATAATTCTTTGTAAGATAAGCAGGTTGCAAAAATGGCATCTCGGAGGCAGTTGAGTTTTCACTGTGTTTATGCATGTGCAGAGAGAAGTTAGAGATGTATTAATGGGTTAATGAGTTAATGTAGAGAGAAGTTAGAGATGGAGTTGAAGGGTTGGGTTTATGTGAGAGAAGGCTTGGGGAATTGGGGAGGATGATAATAGGCTAACAGTGAGCTACTTTGTCTCTTTGAGAACTGGAATTGGGTGGGAATGGTGAGGCGGCATGGGGAAGGCAAAGTATTGCATGCATGCTTATTAAATTAAAAGAAAAATAATAATAAATCGGCGCTAGGCGTTTTTTCAACCTTGAAGATAAGTTAAATGTTACATACGGAGTATTTGAATTGGATTATATGTTTATCTTTATATGTATTATGAGTATATATACATACTCAACAAGCTCCCGCATAATCATTTTTTTTTTATTTTATATTTGTTGAAACGATGATATATACATTATTGCTGCTTTGTTTGTTTCAGCACTGCTGTTGACCATTACCAAGAACAATTGATGGGCTTGGCCATAAAGATAAATTCTTTGATATTCAAAGCATTGGGTCTTCCTGAGGAAGATGTGGACTGGCTGAAGTCCAAAAACACAAGTGCGTTCCTCCATTTCAACTCATACCCAAAATGCCCAGACCCAACCCAGGCACTGGGCATGGTTCCACACACTGACTCCTCGCTTATCACGTTGCTATACCAAAGCAACACCAACAGTGGTCTACAAGTCTTTAGGCCCAATAAAAAATGGGTTGATGTCAAGCCCATTCCCGATGCACTTGTCGTAAATGTCAGCGACATGATGCAAATATTTTCTAATGGACAATTCAAAAGTGTAAAACATCAGGCTATCACCCGATGCTTTACACTTTTGAATTGTCCATTAGAAAATATTTGCATCATGTCGCTGACATTTACGACAAGTGCATCGGGGATGGGCTTGACATCAATCCATTTTTGAATGGGCCCAAAGACTTGTAGACCTCTGTTGGTGTTGCTTTGGTATAGCAACGTGATAAGCGAGGAGTCAGTGTGTGGAACCATGCCCAGTGCCCGGGTTGGGTCTGGACATTTTGGGTATGAGTTGAAATGGAGGAACGCACTTGTGCTTTTGGACTTCAGTCAGTCCACATCTTCCTCAGAAAGGCCCAATGCTTTGAATATAAAAGAAGTTATCTTTATGGCCAAGCCCATCAGTTGTTCTTGGTAATGGTCAACATCAGTGCTGAAACAAACAAAGCAGCAATAATGTATATATCATCGTTTCAACAAATATAAAATAAAAAAATGATTACGTGGCATCTTGTTGAGTATGTATATATACTCATAATACATATAAAGATAAACATATAATTCAATTCAAATACTCCGTATGTAACATTTAACTTATCTTCAAGGTTGAAAAAACGCCTAGCGCTGATTTATTACTATTATTATTTTAATTTAATAAGCATGCATGCAATACTTTGTCTTCCCCATGCCGCCTCACTATTCCCACCCAATTCCAGTTCTCAAAGAGACAAAGTAGCCCACTGTTAGCCTGTTACCATCCTCCCCAATTCCCCAAGCCTTCTCTCACATAAACCCAACCCTTCAACTCCATCTCTAACTTCTCTCTACATTAACTCATTAACCCATTAATACATCTCTAACTTCTCTCTGCACATGCATAAACCCAGTGAAACCTCAGCCGCCTCCGAGATGCCATTTTTGCAACTTGCTTATCTTACAAAGAATTATTGTATTTCAAAAAAAAAAAGAGGTGTATGAATACCAGAAAGGAGAGTAATCTTCAGGCTAAACCAGGCGTGCCTGCTCCACCGGCGTTTCGGAAACGGTGAATCCTTCCATCCACATCAGACTCTTATAAACGCAAGAGGTGGGGATGATGCCGTAGCCGGGGCGGGCGGGGATTCCCGGCGAGCACAGAGTGAGGATCTTCTGCTCCCTCGGCAATGCGAAGAACCGGCGAGCTTGATGCTCAATTTCGCCAAGAAGCGTCAGTGAAACGCTGTGGTTGCTAACCTGAAAGACACCCCAATTTTCACAAGCCGTTTATATTTTCTCCACGACTTGCGGGTCCTCAAGTTCGGTAAAGGGAACAAAAGATTCGTCGCTGGAAGAAGAGTTGAAGCAAGGGGAGTAGACCCAGGTGTGGGAATCGGGAACATCGACGGCGTTTTCGAAGTCCATCCGGACGAGATGGTTCAGCTCTGTGTTCATGGTTACGTTGACGATGATAGAAAAGAGAGAACGAAGTTGGAGGAGGGGTTAAGGAAAGAAGGCTATTGGATACTTATTCCTCAAAGGATATTGTATGTTAGAGGGGTAGAATGAAATAACGAATTTATATAGAAAAGAGAAAAGAGAAAAGTTGGTGGAGGGTGTCGATTTCGGCGTGTTCTTTATGGAATGAGAGGGACGGATATATATAGTGCATGCTCCAACGGTCCACTCCTTTGGCAACCAGAAGAAGTGGGTTAAAAGAGATTTTATTGATACATAATAAAAAATTAATTTTATTTTTTTGTCTTAGATTTATAGGTATTTATTCCACTTTTTTTTTAATATTTACTTTTGGTCTTAGTACTATTGTAGCATAATCATTTTTGATACTCTATCAAAAAAAAAAAAAACAAATACATTTAGGTCTTTAATTATGATTTTTTTTAAAAAAAATAATAATAATAAAAGTATAGCGTGTCAGCTACTTTATATAAAAAGATCAAAATATTATTGTATTTAACGATATTTCGACAATTTTATTAATGAATGATAAAAAATAATTATACCACAATAAAATTATGATCAAAGAAAATATTCTTAAAAGAAAGACTAAAAATGAACTATGATCTATAAATTTGTGTAAAAATAAAATTAACTCGGAAATTGTATTTGCCCAATACAATTGAAGGCAGCAGCAAGGCAGTGGTTTGGCAAGGGTGAAGGGCAAGAATTCCAGCAGTAATAGAAAGGGAGAAAACCATGGGTGGGCTGACATTAATCGCACTTCCAAAAGGCCAAATTACAGCTCAAACCTTCTTAATATTCACAAAAATAAGTGTGGTGATAATTTAAAGCACAATATATAAAACATAGCTTAAATGACTCAAAATAATTTGTCCCGTTATCACGTATTGATACCTAAAGTGTTGGTTCAACTAAATTTGCTCAAAATTCAATCAAATTACATTGTTTTCAATGGACAATGAATAAATTAAATGTTCATTTTTAGTATATTGAATATTCAATTTTAATATATATACAAAAATTCAATTTTTTATAAATATTTAAAAGAGTTAATAACCAAAATGTCTCTCGATTATGGTGTAATTACCATTTTGATCCCCGACTACCATTCTTATCCAATTAAATCTTCATTTATGCAGTTTTTACACAATTTAATCATCTGTTAATTTGACTGTTCGTTGACTGTCAAAAATAGGGATAAAATTGTAATTCTACTAGCTTTCTCCTTCCTCCCAATGGAAGCTCGTGTCTTGTTATCACGTTGACGACATTATAAAATCAAAAGCAAACAATTCAACTTTGAACATAAACTGCAGGATGAGAAACACTTACGAACCATTCATTAAAGATTAAAGGGTTACCTGGAAAGACAGAGTGGTGTTCACCCACTCAAGCTAGTCACCCTGCGGATGCAGGTCACACCGTACCCATCCTATCCTCAAAGATAGCTTCTTCCAGTCCGGGGGAGGATCAACATGATTCTTCCAACTGGTCTCTTGATAAGCCCCAATGGAAGCTAGGCGATCAGCCGCGACATTCTGTACTCTTGGATAAATTTAACCAATTCAAGAGTTTAGACAGTACTGTTGCACAAGCTTATGTAGTTAGACATTAATGGGTGATAATAGAAAACCAACCGTGTATAGTATCACTCTTTTGTCAACATCCACCGGTGCGCGGAGATTATGGATTATAAATGAAGGCATTCCTCCGGACGGCCCTTCACGACAGAGTCATGGGGAAAGCCGAAATGGCGAGGAGGGGTATCATCAGCGACGAAGCATGCATCTTCTGCTCAGGATCTATATATGGAAGTTGTGGAGACACGTTGCAGCGCAGGCAGCCATAGGATCAACAGATGGAGTACCTGGAACTATAAGGAATGGCTCGAGAAAAACTAGAGTGGTGAATGGCTCGAGAAAAACGAGGATCCCACCATTGTTGAAGCAAGAGCTCTTGTCAAGGCTTTGGAGTGGGCGTGGCTGAAAGGGTTCCGAGACGTGGGTTCCAGGATGGTGGTCCAGTGGATTATGGAAGAAGGAATGCGCAGAGGACCTATATGCCAGATTATTGAGCAGGCAAGATGGTGGTTGGACAGAGATTGGAAGACATCTATCCGGGCTATATATCGGCAACAAAACACGGTGGGCGGTGGCTGACAGGTTGGCTTCGTTTGGTGCTTTGCAGCATATTGGTTATTATAACTCTATTTAAAATTTGAGAGGTAAAAGTAGGAAATTCACATTTTATTTTCCTTCTCATATCAAAATTACTTTCATAATATTATTTTTCACTAATTTTTAGCCTCTTATTTCAAGTTTGTTCAATTTTTTTACTTTCAAATGCTCAATTTAATGCCTACAAGCTAGTGTATGTGTGTTTTACTATTGTGTAATTTAAAAAAAAAAAAAATTAACATTCAAGTGAATCTTTTTTTTTTTTTTTAATCTTTCGGTGCAGATTTTTTTTGCCTTCAAGTGCACAATTTTATGTCTTCAAGTGCATGTTCTTTTGCCTTCAAGTGCACAACTTCTGGGCTGCATTTGTTATATATTGTGCATTTTTTTCAATAACATATAACTAAATTTCTAATGAAATTTGTGAGATTTACAAATGATTTGTATGAGTGATTGGTTTAATAACACTTAAGTTGAATAAACCCCCTTTTTGGTACCATAAATTACATCAATTGAATTTGCCTTTGAATGTAATTTTTGTTCGCCTTTAAGTGCACATTTTTAACTTTCAAGTGCATGGTTTTAATCTGTCATAATTTAAAAATTAAATTCTTTTAATTTGTAAATACAAGTCCCTTAATTAAAATTGATAATATGGAAAATAATGAAGAAAATGAAATTATAAAATTAACCAAATGTTTATTCATAAATATTTAGAAATTTGCTTAAATACATACTTATTCTTATGCATTGAATAAAAGTTAATTATAGAAACACGCGATTGACAGATTATTCACTTATTTGAATTAAGAGAAAAAATTGCATCTTTGGTCTCTAAGTTATATTCAAGTTTTGATTCAGTCCTTGAGTTATGACTGTATTCATTTTTAGTTCCTCAGTTATGAACGAAGTGGTACATTTGGTCTCCGACCGTTAAATTAACGGAAAAATTAAAAAATATTTAAAAATAATTTATTTTGTATATTGTTTTATTTTGATTATTATTATATTATTAATTATTAATATCATTATTATTGTATTTTTATTTTATTATTACATTATATAATAATAATAATAATAATAATAATAATAATAATAATAATAATAATATAAATTTCCTTTTAGCTATACACTTTTTTTTTTTTTTTGAAAGTTAGCTATACACTTATTATTATATAATTGTAATTGTACTATTATTATGGTAATGATTAGCTTCATTACCATAATAATTATTAGTCAAGTATAATATTATCTGTGTAATTATTAGCTTACAGTGTACCTAAATTGACATTACAGTGTATCTACACCAACAATACCTAACGTATTTTGCGGAACGACGCGAAACGGATGTCATTTCTTTTCATTAAACAAAACGATATTGTTTTGAAGCTAGTGCATAATCGATTATGCACCGCGGTGCACG